TATATATATATATATATCCCCCAGAGGTCTGGGGCCCCTCAGATACTTCGGAGGGGGCCCCCAGGGTCCTCTTATACCCTTCGGGGGGCCCCTGCGCACCTGGGGGCCCCTTGAGGGGGCCCCACCTAAGGGGGGCCCCTCAGGTACCCCTCGGAGGGCCCCATGGGGCCCCATGGGGCCCCTGGGGGCCCCTCATATATATCTCAAAGGGGCCCCCAGGGGGCCCCCGAGCCGCAGAATGCAAGAGTTGTTTGAGGGTTTGCTGCTGTTGGTGTAGATGCAGCGCATAGTGCAGCAGCATTTAGAGATAGGAGTTGAGAGATGCTGTTCTTTATAAAAGAAGAGGCGAATGCAGACAGAGACAGAGACAGAGACAGATTTCATATGTCTCTGTCTCTTTCTGTCTGTCTCTGTATCTGTTCGTCTCTGTCTCTTTCTGTCTGTCTCTGTCTCCTCTCTGTCTATGCCCCTGTTTTTGTCTCGTTATCTGTCTCTGTCTCCTTTTCTATCTCTGTCTCCTTTTCTGTCTCTGTCCCTGTCTCTGTCTCCTTATCTGTCTCTGTCTTCTTATCTGTCTCTGTCTCTGTCTCTGTCTCTGTCTTCTTTTCTATTTCTGTCTCCTTTTCTGTCTCCCTTTCAGTCTCCTTCTCTGTGCCCCTGCTTCTGTCTCTGTCTTTGTTTTTGTCTCTGTTTCTGTCTCTTCTCTGTCTAATAAGAAGTAAGAGTCTCCTTTGTTTATTATATTATTAATTTAACTTTTAGTTGTCTCTTTGCCTATCCCTCTTAACAAAAAGAAAAAAGAAATGCAGTAAATATCTAAGTCTCAGACCCCCTGCGCAGCCTCTTCGCTCTTCGGAGGGGTTTCTGCTCCTTACCAGCAGCAGCAGGTACACTCGGCACACCACAACGAACTGTCTGCATCCCTCTCTTCTTGGCTGCTGCTGCAGCGCTGCTGCTGCTGCTGCTGCTGCTGATGCTGGCTGCATCTTGCGACGAGTCAACGTTCTCATTGCTGCACTGCTCGCCAGCAGCAGCAGGGATAACAGCAGCAGCAGCAGCAGCAGCAGCAGCTAAGGGTGAAGCGCTGTGTTCTGATAAAGCATCATGATAAGGAGTGCTTCCTTCAGACTTACAGTCAAAAGCGCTTGCTGCTCGTTGACACTTACGGGGGGAGGCGGTGTTGCCTCTCCCTGCAGCAGCAGCAGCAGCAGCAGCAGCAGCAGCAGGTGCTGCTGCTGCAGGCAATAAGCTGCAGAGGGGGCCCCTCTGACTCAGAGGGCGCCGCAGCGGCAGAGACGGAAGCAGCGAAGTGGAGGCGCTTACTGCAGCAGGACGAGCGCAGCGCCAAGGACCTGCACAACAAACAAACCCTAAACCCTAAACCCTAAACCCTCAAACCGCAAACCCTGTACCCTCAAGCTCTAAAGCATCGAATTGTAAACACATATATACATATATATAATTACATATCATAAACAGATAAAGCTATATATATTATATATATAATATCTAGTAGATATACACCCCTAATATGTTTATTTGTTTGTATCGAAGTTCCGCTGCACTTCTGGCTGCAGCAGCAGAGCTGCAAAGGGCAGCATTTGCGGTGTATGTACACCGCAGATTTGTTTGAATAGAGAAAGAAGAAGAGACAAATCTTACTTCTAACAAGCTCGTCATCACTGCCAGCACACTGCGGCCTTCTGGAGACACCTGACTGGGGACAAAGGACTCCATTCTTGTGTCTCTGCTGCTGCTGCTGCTGCTGCAGCTGCTGCTGTTGCTGCTGCTGTTGCTGCATGTTTCGGGGTCTCCTTTGTGCTGCGTCGACGCCCTTCTGCTGCGAATCGATAGAGACAGAGTCGCTCCTCCTGGTATTGCTGTTGCTGCTGCTGCGGTTTACGCTGCTGCTGCTGCTACTGCTGCTGTTGCTGGTGGTGCTGTTGCTGCCTCGCTGCAACGCAGCAGCAGCAACGGACCGAAAGGCTCTTCCCCCAGATGACCTGCAGCTTGAAGAGGAAGCCGCCATGCTGCTGCTGCTAATGTTGCTGCTGCTGCTGTGCAGCTGTTGCTGCTGCTGCAGCAGCAGCTGCTGTTTCACTGCGGGAGCTGCAGCTGCTGCAGCAGCAGCCGCAGTAGCTGCTGCTCTCATGCTGTTGCTGCTGTTGTTGCTGCTGCTTCGAATCTTCTGTCCACTGACGCTGCTGCCGCTGCGTCGGTTGTTATCTCCCGATCGCCTGTTGCAAACGCCTTGCTGCTGCTGTTGCTGCTGCTGCTGCTTCTGCTGCTGCTGCTGCTGCTGATGCTGCTGCAGCAAGGCTTGCTGCAGCAGCGCGTGACATGCAAAGCGAGTGCTGGAAGGTAGACGCCCCTTTGCTTCCAATGCAGCCAGACAACGTCGAAGAGGAGACGGAAGAGCAGCACGAAATGCAGGGATCTCCAAGTCTACTCACAAACCCTAAACCCTAAACCCTAAACCCTAAACCCTAAAGTATGTAGGTTTGAAACAGCTGGGTGCGTTCTTACACCGCTATATCGCAGATGCCCTTCACCCCAACCCTTCGAGTCTGCTATTATTAGGGTTTAGGGTTTAGCCCTAGGGTTTAGGGTTTAGGGTTTAGGGTTTACCTGCGAGGTGAAATGAAAGACCTAAACGGTTCATTTGCTCAAAAGGCAAGTCGTGAAACCAAGGATGGGATAATGCAGAGTGCGCGGAGAGACGCCGAGAAGGAGACACATGAAGCAGCCTAAAAGGAGACAGTAAAAGGAGACAGTAAAAGGAGACAGTAAAAGGGGACAGTAGAAAGAGAGACGCCAAGCAAAGGAAAAGATATAATAAAGAGAGACAAGCAAAGAAGTTCATTATTAACAGAGATTTATTATTATTATTATTATTATTATATTGTTGTTGTTGTTATTATTATTATATAGTACTGTTGCTGTTGCTGGTTTATATTCTTATTATTGTTATCGTCATTATTATTATTATATTATTATTGTTATTAATATATTATTATCATTATTATAGTATTATTGTTTGTTAATACCTAGCTAGCAGGTCTAGGCCTAGACCGTCTAACGGTATAATATTATTATTATAATATTATTACAATTTTATAACAATATTATTATTATTATTATTATTGTTTGTTTGTTATTACCTAGCAAGAAGGTCTAGGCCTAGGGCGTCTAACGGTATTCCTCCTCTTTCTAAGATGAAGTCCAGTAAAGCAGCTTTTCTTTCGTTGTGAGACAGAGAAGGAAAAGCCCCGAAAAAAGAACAGAGAGCGTCGCGCTGTTCGCCAGACAACCTGCATGCAAACAAACAAACAAAAATAAATTAATTATAAAATAAATGAATAGTAAAATAAATTATTAATAGAATATATTAGTAATACAATACATTGATAATAAAATAAACGAATAATAAAATAACTCAATAGTAAAATAAACGAATAATGAGCGCTGACTCCTGTACCAGTTGTATGGAGTGTGGGGTTGGGATCGATTGTGGGGTTGGGATCGGGATCGGGATCGGGATCGGGATCGTACGCGAGCATGTCTTGGAGTTGTGTGGGGTCTGCAGGTTTTCCAAGGACTTTGAATATATTTTCAAGAATCATGAATTCCATATTAAATGCCGCACGACAAACACCGTGAAGAACAAACGCAAAGTTCCACTTGAAAGGCCTCGATAAAGCTTGAGGTAGACATAACTCTAAAAGTATTACTCCCACAGACCACACATCGCATGCAGAAGAAAATGCTGCAACCTGTGCATGCACACAGCAGCAGCAGCAGCAACAACAACAACAAAAACCAATACGAGAAACAGTAGGAGTACGAGTAGTGGTGGTACTTCATCAGCAAAGAAAATAGCTGCAGCAGCAGCAGCAGCAGCAGCAGCAGCGGCAGCGGCAGCAAACAAACAAGACAGCAACAAATAAATAAATAAATAAACCAAACAAATAAACAGACGAACAAATACTTCGTACATATGCAGAAACAAATTACAACATCAATAATAAACAACAACAACAACAAACAGATACAGGAACAAAGCGAAGCAAGAGACACAAACAACCCTAAACCCTAAACCCTAAACCCTAAACCCTAAACCCTAAACACGTTCCCTCCATCACTTCTTCCCTTCTGAAAACCCCACACGCAATAAACCAGCAGCAGCAGCAGCAACAGCAGAATCAGCAGCAATCGTAGCAGGTGCAGAGGATCAACAGGACCCACTGCAGCGCAACACCAGCAGCACCAGCAGCAACAGCAACAGCAGCAGCAGCAGCAGCAGCAGCAGCATACAGGGAGTTTTGCTGCACTCTGATTAGCAGCAGCAGCAGCTAATATTTCAGGAGGTCTGTATGGTAAAGTAACGACGCGTCCAGACTGCCTCATTGTAAGCAGGCGCCACTCATCAGGGCCCCGGGGCCCCTCCTTTAAGCATGCATACTCCTGCTGCTCCTGTTGCTGCTGCTGCTGCTGCTGCTGCTGCTGCTGCTGGGGCTCCTGCTGCTGCTGCTCCTGCTGCTGCTGCTGATCCTGCTGCGAAGCAGGAGGCCCAGGAGCTGCAGAGACACTTCGGAACGGCAAAGACCACGCGCGAGTGCCTAAGCAAAAGAAACCCTAAACCCTAAACCCTAAACCCTAATCCATTGAAACCCTGCGCTATAATCCCCCTTCCCTGAACCCTCAGCTGTCTGCCCCAACCCCTCCAACTCCCTAAACCCTAAACCCTACCCCGTCCCCCCTAAACCCTAAACCCTAAACCCTAAACCCTAATTAGCTGAGTTGAGGCTTGCCTGCTGGTTGCTGCCCCAGGACTGCTCGCATCTTCCTCGCCATCCCTAAGTCAGCAATCTTCAAAACCCCTACTCCTTGCTGCAGCAACTGCTCTCCTTCAGCAACAGCAGCAGCAGCAACTAAAATGTTTTCGGGCTTCAGATCCCGGTGTACAACCCCACGCCCGTGCAGACGAGCAACTCCTGCGACAATCAACTCTAAACCCTAAACACTAAACCCTAAACCCTAGTAACCCTAGTAACCCTATTCACCACAGTAAATCACCACGCGCTACCGTAAACCCTAAACCCTAAACCCTAAACCCCGGCCCCCAAGCCCTAAACCCTAAAAACCCCCTAAACCCTAAACCTTAACCCCACCCATACCCCAAAACCTTAATTCCTCACCCCTAAACCCTAAACCCTAAACCCTAATTCCTCACCCCTAAACCCTGACCCCTAAACCCTAAACCCTGACCCCTAAACCCTAAACCCTAGAGCCTAGAGCGTAAACCCTAGGCGTACCGTTGAGTAGCTGCCAAGCATAGAATTTGAGTGCTGAGTGGTTTAATTTCTTCTGCAAGTTGAGGAGTCTGACGAATGCAGCGAAGTCAGAGGCACATCTTTCGACAACGAGAACGCCAGCTGTCTGTACACCTGAGAGATAGGCATCTGCAAAGGGTTTAGAGAACTGAATGCAGCTTGTAATACCGAAGACTTTTAATACATTAGCAAACCCTAAACCCTCAGACCCTGGCGTCTCTAGATCTCCATACATCGAGAACTCTCGCAGCAAATCGGCAGTAACACCTTCGCGTTTATAGTTAGGCAGCAGCAGCAGCTTTGCTGCATATCTCTGAGAAGCAGGCAAGCGAGGAGGAGGAGCTGCAGTTGCTGCTGCTGCTGCTCCTACACCTGCTGCTGCTGATGTTGCTGCTGCTGCTGCTGCTGGGTTAGGTGGGGAACCAGAGCGCAAGTGGTCGCCTCCATTTGCTGCTGCTGCTGCTGCATTTGCTGCAGCAGGAGCATCTGTTGTTTGCTGCGTCCCTGAATTTGCGGCTGCATTATCTGCTGTTGGTGTTGCAGTTGCTGCTGCACCTCCAGCAGCAGCAGCAGCAGCAGGAGCAGCAGCAGGAGGAGGAGAAGCAGGAACAACTTCAAAGACCCTCCCAAATTGCCCCTTGCCTAGCTGCGTATACACTGGGAGATAAACAATACCTGAAGACAGCTCTAAAGTTTGATACCCACTCCACTTCAAAGACCACGAAAGCCTATTTGTTGTTGTAAACGGGGACTCAGGAGGGACACGAGGAAATGCTGCAGGAAGAGGAGGAGACATTCTAATCTCAACATCAGAAGCCTGTTGTTGAGGTGTATGTACACCTCAACAAACAGAAAAAAAAGAATATATATATATATATATATGTATATATATGTATATGTATATAATATGGATGTGTTGAGGTGTACGTACGCCTCAATACACACAACAGAAAAACGAAATGTATATATTTATTTTTCTTTCTTTCTTTGTCTCTCTTTGTTTGTTTGTTTGTATCTCCTTCTTCATCTCTTTATTTATCTCTTTATTTGTCTCTTTATTAGTCTCTGTCTTCGTCTCTCTCGCTGGCGAGAGATAAACAATTTGGCTGGGGGAAGAGAAGAAAAGAAAAAGAAAAAGAATAGACAGAAGAATAAAATAAAATAAAAGAATAAAAATAAAATAAAAGAATAAGAATAAAATAAAAGAATAAGAATAAAATAAATGAAAAAGAATAAAAGAAAATAAAGAAAAAGAGTAAAAGAGATGAAAAAGAATAAAAGAAGAGAAGAAAAGAAAAGAAAAGAAAAGAAATAACAGCAAAGGAGACACCCAATCTAAATAAATAAATAAATATATATATATACACTAAAATGCAAATAATATATATATATATATATATGTTTGTTTAGATATATAAATATATATATGTTTAGATATATAGATGAATATATAAATGTATCTACATATCTATATTATAATATATATATATATACATATATATACTATATATATTATATTTATTAGATATAATATATATATGTAATATATATTATATATAATATATATTGTATATATGTGTGTAGATGTTGTATTAGCACACCCCGAACAAAGCTCAGAAACAAACTCTGTTCTTCTCTCCTGATTAAATAAACAAGACAGACAGCTCGAGCATGTTCTTAAGCTGTCTGTAAACCCTAAACCCTAAACCCTAAACCCTAAACCCTAAGCCGAAAAACTACCACCAGCGGGAGCTCCAGCTGCAGCTGCTGCGGTGTATGTACACCGCAGCAGCAGAATAAACAAAGATAAATACACAAAAAAGAAGAAAATCAAGATGCTTAACAGAGAAAAGTTATAAACTCAAACAAACCCAGCACTTCACCACCACCGACCAACAGCCCCAAGATCGTCGAACCCCTATTGACAATAAACCCTAAACCCTAAACCCTAAACCCTAAACCCTAATTTAAAAAAAGGCTTCATTAATACTACAGAAAGATAGATGTATATATATATTTAGAGAGAAGAAAACAAACTATAGTTGGGGTTATTAACTCATAAGCTATGGATACCTGAACGCTCTCGCCTTCGGGCTCTAGGGTTTAGGGTTTATTATTAGGGTTTAGGGTTTATTAGGGTTTAGGGTTTGGCGGCATGCGTGCGGTCGTGTGTAGAAAGGTAGCATATTGTGCTCTTCTTTATTTGTTTAATATTTCTTTCTTTTTCTTTTTATTATTTATTATTCTTCTGCGTTTCTTCGTTTCTTCGCTTTTCATTAGCAACAGCAGCAGCAGCAGCAGCAGCAGCAGCAGCAGCGCGATCCTCAGGTGTATGTACACCACAGAATTTATTTCTGTTGCTGCTGCTAGAGGGTTTTTCAGCCTCTCTGCATCTTTATTTTATTTCTGCAATAGTATATCTTTTGCTGCTGTCTTCCTGTGTCTATACAGAGCGCTTCGTTGTCTAACCGCGCAAAGACACCCTAAACCCTAAACCCTAAACCCTAAGCTCTCGCTTCCCCTTGGATGCACCTCTCACCTGCAGCCCGAAACACCAACGGCAGCGGCTTCAAGCGCCGCCAGATGCCGCTGCATGCGGCTGATCCGCCTGGCAGCAGAGGACTGGGGGGGTTAGGGTTTAGGGTTTAGGGTTTAGGGTTTAGGGTTTAGGGTCTAGGGTTTAGGGATGAAGCTTATTGCCATTTTCGTCTGTCGATGCCCTGCCGGCTCTGACAGCGTCGCCTTCCTTAGCGCTGCTTATGACCTCTCTAGGTGCGTCTCAACCCCACCATAAGGGTTTAGGGTTTAGGGTTTGGGGTTTAGGGTTTAGGGTTTAGGGTTTGACGCTATAGCGTTGCTGCGTCTGCTACCTAAATCTTTGTGCCACCAAACCCCACTTGGATCCCTTTTTATCCTTACATACCGATTTAGGGTTTAGGGTTTAGGGTTTAGGGTTTAGGATTTCCTTCTGCTAGACACTCGTCCCCTCAGCCTTCCTGCAATAACGCTGGGGCAAGAGAGGTAGGGTTAGTTGGTAGTTTAGGGTTTAGGGTTTAGGGTTTAGGTTTTAGCGTTCAGGGCTTGCGGTTTAGGGTTTAGGTTTTAGCGTTCAGGGCTTGCGGTTTAGGGTTTAGGGTTCAGGGTTCAGGACTTGCGGTTTAGGGTTTAGGGTTTAGGGTTTAGGGTTTGCGTCTCAGCTTTTCCTTCTATCAACGCAACACTGTAAAGGAGGGGCTGAAGTTCGTTGCAAGGACCGCCATCCCCCGGGTGTGTTGTTTGAGGTGTACAGACACCTGAGTTTTTAGTTGTTATTCATTTGCATTCATTACGGGTTTAGGGTTTAGGGTTTGGGGTGTATATGCAGCTTCCGATGAGGTATCAGCAGGAAATAGAGCATGAATCGTATTGTGTATTTGCATTTGGGGTTTAGGGCATTGGGCTCTATCTCTAGGGTTTAGGGTTTAGGGTTTAGGGTTTAGGGTTTAGGGTTTAGGGTTTAGGGTTTGGGGTGTATGTGCAGCTTCCAGTAGGGAGTCAGCAGGAAGTTGAGCATGAAGGGTCTTGCGCATTTGTTTTTCGTTATCCGGATTCTCTTGCTGTTTTAGCTGTAGGAGACAGTAGATACCCACGAAGGTATAAACCCTAAACCCTAAACCCTAAAGCCTCATTAACTTACTAAACCCTAGGCGCGCCTGCTGCTGTCTGTCTCTGTTTGTTTCTTCGTTTGTTTCTTTCTCCTTCTGTCTCTGTCTCTGTCTCTGTTTCTTCTTTCTTTCTTTGTGTGTATGTGCATATGTGTATATGTATGTCGTCTGCTTAGGGTTCAGGGTTTGTTGTTTAGGGTTTGTTGTTTAGTGTTTAGGGTTTGTTATTTAGGGTTTGTTGTTTATTGTTTAGGGTTTATTGTTTAGGGTTTGTTGTTCAGGGTTTATTGCTTAGGGTTTGTTGTTCAGGGTTTGTTGTTCAGGGTTTGTTGTTTAGGGTTTAGGGTTTGTTGTTTAGGGTTTGTTGTTTAGGGTTTGTTGTTTAGGGTTTGTGTGTGTGCATGTTGATCAGGATTGCCTTTGCATGTCTCAACGAGGTGTATCTGCGCTTTATTAAAGATATACCTTCGACCCTCTGGAGATGCGCAGACAGCCGAAGAGGGACTTCGGACTGTCATTCAGCGAAACACCAAATCAGTGCATTCAAAGAGCACCTCGCAGAAATACTCAAAAAATATAAAGTCAGACAACATAAATATATATATATATATACATATATATATATATATGTATATATATATGCATAGATATGTATAGATATATATATATATATATATACATCTAATATATATATATATATATATACATATATACACATATTTATATACAGATGTATATATATATATATATATGCATCTATATATATCTATGCATA